CGGACGGAGGACATATAGACTCTGACTCAGCGACAAGACTAGCGGCGTAGTCTAGACGACAGGCAGCAGCAAAGTCAACAAGCTGAGTGACTAAGGCAGACACAGCAGCAGACTCAAACGACGGGTCAGTGACAACTATGGCTAGCAGACGAGGAGCGCGGTCAGACTCAGGCTATGGAACGTCAGGCAGAGAAGACGCACGAGGAGACGGCAGAGGAACATGCAGTGGAGGAGAGGAAGGACGACGGACTATGAGGTGGGTGCCCAGGATAGCCGGCTGACGCGGACGAGGAACACAACGACCAGAACGGACAGGCAAGACAGGACGCGACGTAGCTCACGACGCTCAGTAAGACCCCCTATCATCAGGTACATGAGGCAGCCAACAAGCTCTCGCTACGGGTCACTCGGCTCTACAGACTCATCCGAAGGCAGAGCTGAGAGCGAGTGGCGAGTACACAGAGGAGTGGCCTGAGGCGAGGAGTACATGAAGACGAAGCGCTGAAGGACCTGCTGCACCATGTGTGACTGAGTCAGGGTAATGGTGCGCTATGCTCTGTCCCAGGTGATCTGCAAGCCAAGGTAGCTGCGCAGTTCACCCAGGTCTGTGCACATGTGTCTCTTCTACAGCTCTGACTTCACGTGGGCGAGTCGAGCAGTATCAGCAGTGGCAAAGACCAACTTGTCGACGAACACGAGGATGTAGAACCGCGGCGAAGAGGTGTTGGTGCGCAGTAACAGCGACGGGTCCGCAGTAGAAGGAGCAAACCCAAGAGCCGCAAGTGTAGTCCTCAGTGTGTCGTGCCACTCACGGGGCGCCTGGTGGAGACCCTCGACTGGCCGGCGGAGGCTCCACTGGGAACCAGGGGGAAACGACCAAGTGAAGCCAGGTGGGCGTCGCCGCCAGATCTCATCATGCAGGCTGCCCTGCAGGAAAGCTGTGCTCAAGTCAAGAGAGTGAAGCTCGTAGTTGCGCTGAGCGGCTATGTGCAGCAGCACCCAAAGAGTGGTCATCTTCGGGGTGGGAGAGAAGGTCTGAAAGTAGTCAACTCCCTGTCGCTAACTGAAGCCTCGAGCCACGTAACGCGCCTTGAAGACAGGCGGAGAATCCAGCGGTCGCTTCACCCTGAAAATCCACATGCCACTGACGATGTTCGCCCCAGGTGGGGGAACCTCGTCTACGTAGGTCCCTGTGGACTTCCACGAAGCCATCTCTGCATCCATGGCTGATTGCTATTGTGAGGAGTAGGGACCCTCAGCGTACGATCAAGGATTCGGGATGTCTGGTGCATCCGGGTCACCCTCAGAGGCAATCAGCGTGGACACGAGATGAGGCAAAGCAGCAGCAAAGCAATGGAACCCCTCCTGCCTGTCCTCAAAGACGTCCGTGCTAAGAGCACACTCACCCCCGACGGACGGAGGACAGATAGACTCAGACTTAGCAACTAGACTAGCGGTGTAGTCTAGACAACAGTGAGCAGCAAAGTCAACAAGCTCAGGAAGTAGGGCAGACGCAGTAGTGGAATCACAGGAAGGGTCAGTGACAACAGTAGCCAAGAGACGTGGACAGTAGGACTGGCAGCACGAAGAGAGTCAAACTCTGGGTCAGGAAGAGTAGAAAGAGAGGACTCTGTAGGAGACGGCAACGAGACACGCAGAGGAGCAGTGGAAGGACGCATCACCATCTGGTGCGTGCCGGGGACCGAAGGAGGACGCGGACACTCTAAGGGAGGAGCAGGACCAGTAGAGGGCGAGAGACCAAGAACCTTCTCCAGGAGCGTAACGAAATATGGCCTCGGCCGCACAGCGCCTTCAGAACCAGCAAGGACGGCACCAGTACCCCCAGCGGTAGCACTAGCGCCAACAGCACCTCCAGCTCCGCGAGCGCCAACTCTATCACCCTCAGAAGCACCAGCTCCAAAAGCACCACCAGCGCCAACACCCCAAGCAGCTCCAGCTCCAGCAGCACCAACACCAGTAGGACCGCCAGCTCAAGCAGCCTCAGCAGCACCCGCAGACGCACCACCGCTAGTAGAAACACCAGCGCCAACACCCCCAGTAGCTCTAGCTCCAGCAGCACCAGCACTGCCAGCAGCTCCAGCAGGACCAACTCAAGTATCCCCAGCAGCACCACCAGTTTCAGCAGCACGTCTCCAGTGGTGGGCAAACCACTCGCGCAGCTCCTGTGGAGAGAGTGGCTCCCGCCTCGACAAAGCACCGCCGGCGGCCACACGAGCAGACCCAGCGCCCCCAGGCTGCGCACCCCCAGACTCAGCACCCCCAGACCCAGCATCCCCAGGCTCAGATACCCCAGTCTCAGCACCCCCAGACTCAGCACCCCAAGACTCAGCACCTCCAGACCCAGCACCCGTAGGCACAGCACCTCTAGCAGCACCAGAGTCAACAGCTACCTCGACAGGCTCGACTGCGTCTACCTGGGACACACCTAATGGGGCAAGATCCTGAGGGGGGAGGGGGTCTACCAGGGGAGGACCTGGCGCAAGGTAGAGCGGCGGCGGGGGGAATGGCGCAGTGCGGTAGGGGAAGAGACGGTAGTAAGGCACCGACTCGTCAAAGGTGACGTCCTGGGAGGACAGAACACGACGCGAGGTGGGGTGGTAAAACTCCCACCCAGGCGCGTCAGGGGGGAAGCCAAGGAAGACGTAGGGAACAGCACATGGGGACAGCTTGTCCGCACACAAGTCGCGGACAAAAGCCCGAGATCCCCAAACCCGAAACGCAGACGCATCGCCAACCTTCCCCGTCCACCGCAGGGCGGGGGAGGTCTCTGGCAAGGAGACCCGGGCTGAAGGTTGAGCTGATGCGGGGCGAATTGAACCGCAAACGGCCACAGAAAATGGGTCCAGCCGCATGCATCATGGACGTACGAGCGACGTCCATGACCATGCCAATGCGGCGCTCAGCAAACCCATTTTGCTGTGGAGAGGCCGGAAGTGTGAAGGTCTTGCGGATGCCCTGTGCATGAGAGACGGCTCCCCGACGGGCAAAGGAAAACTCATCGCCTCTCTCAGAATGGAGACGCAGAACAGGAAAGTCCGAGCCGAAACTCTCCCTGAGCTGGAGACGAGCTGCCCGGATCTAGTCGATCAACACCTCAGTGACGTCACCCTTGCTGCGCAAGGGGAAGACTGTGGTGTAACGCGAGTAGTCGTCAACCACCAACAGGAAGTAACGCTCGTGCCCCTGCCCACGGATGCGGGCGGGGCCCCACACGTCCATGTGGAGGGTCTGTAGCGGAGCCTCTGTCGGAGGAAACTCGGAGGAGTGAGGGGCCGCGCGCTGTCGCCCCTCGACGCAAGGGACGCAAGTCGGGCCAGGTCCCGGAGGTAGGTGAGGGAGAGACCGAGGGAGACCAGAGACAAGGACACGGGAGGCCATGCCTTGGAGACGAGGCAGGGAGGGGTGACCAAGGCGGTGGCTCCATAGGAGAGTCTGGTGGGAAAATAGATGACACGAGCAGGGAGCAGACTCAGAACCAGACCTGAACGCTGCAGCAAACACCTGACTCGAGGCAGCTACCTGGCCAGACTTAGCAATCGGAGGAGACTCAGTAGTAAGGGTGTACAGGCTTGACCCCGGCCGACGGGTGAACGTGGCCATGTGTCGGCTTCTCCGAGCACACGTGCAGTAAGTCACTCGCTGACTCGCATGAGTGAAGTGGTCAACTCCCCTATCCTGTAGGTCCGCTCCGCTCACCAAGTTCGTAGAGAACGAGGGGAGGTAGGGACCTGACAGGGTGCCGGAGGGGGCTGCCGGGCACGGTAAGATAGTGGAGAAGCTAGCAAGGACAGGACCCCCACAGGGGTCCACCAGGGAGACTGCAATCGGCCGACTGAGCGGCGTAAGAGTGGTGAGGTCTCGAAAGAAGGAGCGGGACGCACCCGAGTCAAGGGTGAAGGTGTGTAAGGCCTTAGCCGACGTAGTACCTGAGAGAGCAGACTCACCAGCACCTGGGGGAGCAAACGCACTCGCACCTGGGGCAGCAAACGCACTCGCACCTGGGGCAGCAGACGCACTAGCACCTAGAGCAGCAGCCTCACCCGCACCTAGAGCAGTGGCCTCAATGCCCGGGTCAGGTGGTACACACAGGTAACAGTGACCCTAAACACTAGTAGTCATAGAATACATGGCAGCAAGGATAGCATCGTAGTCAAGATCAAAGATGGCAACCCCCGCCCTAGACAGATCTCCCCAGCGAGGGATCTTTGAAGCCTCAGGGAACTGGCGACGCCACGCGTCCATCAAGCGACGGAAGCTGCGCTAGGTGGAGTGCGGGCCCCCGCATTGCTCACCAGCTCGATCACCGGTACGGAGGACGTAAGTGCAGGGACCTGTACCCCCACCGCGCTGACGCGCAGTGTAGCACTCACGAAGCTGCTCAGGGGACAGGGTCACACCACTCCGCTGCTGCTGGCGCGGACCACCTCTTGAGCCACTCCTCTTCGGAGAGTCGCCACCCGCTCCACCGCCGCCGCCGCCACCTCGGCCGCCTCCTCCACCTCGGCCTCCTAAGAGTGGTGGGGCAAACTGAGAGGAAGTGGTCACTGACTACGCGGAGAGAGTTAGGGAGCCAGGTGACTATGTAGTAGAGTTTTATGTACATTGGGGGGGGGGGGGGGGGGTGTTCTTGGCGCAGAATTCAGCAGGAAGCGCAGCGCGGTAGCGAGTGTCACTAGTGCGGAGGTGCGTAATGAGGTCAGCGACTATGAGAAAGGCAGCAAGGTCAGGGAAGAGGTACGGTAGCATGAGGCCGATCAGTGCAGCAGTGACAGGGGAAGAGTAGCATGCAACTACAATGTCGTACAAGGTCTGAGCACTCTTGTACTAGCTAAAGTGTGCACGCTTAGTGGCCGGTAAGTGGCGACGCACAGCAAGGCGAGCAGCAGCAATACGTGTGGCCCACTGTGAGTGAACAGTGCTGTCAGCAGTAGCAGGCGGGGCACGAGAGGCACCAGAGGTGAGATCGTACAGAAGATTCCATGTGCCCTATCGCACTGGAGGAACAGTTGCAGGTCATCGACCCAGACCTCAAAGTCAACGGCACGGCCCTCAGCATCAAAAGTAAGGACACTGGGGGTAGCCATGACTGCAGTGGCCGAGTAGGGAGTGAGCTCACCAGTCCGAGGAAGGAGGGCCGGGGAGCACCGGTAGGATCAACAGCGGCTCGACAGTAGGGCGGCTCGGCGGCTCGGCAGCAGGGCGGCTCGGTTGCTGGGCGGCTTGGCTGCTGGGCGGCTCGGGGGCAGGGCGACTCGGCTGCTGGGCGGCTCGGCTGCTGGGCGGCTCGGCGGCAGGGCGGCCCGGCTGCTGGGCGGCTCGGCTTCTCGGCGGCTCGGCTGCTGGGCGGCTCGGCTGTTGGGCGGCTCAGCTGCTCGGCAGGTGGGCGGCTCGTCTGCTGGGCTGCTCGGCGGCTTGGTCGCTGGGCGGCTGAGCGGTTACAGGGCCGCCAGGGGAGGGCGCCGGGGCCGCAAGTGACGTCTACGGGGCCGTAGGTGGCGGCAACGGGTCCGCAGGTGGTGGCGACGGGGCCGCTGGTGGCGGCGGGGCCGCAGGTGGCGGCTGCGTGGCCGCATGTGGCGGCGGCGGGGCCGCAGGTGGTGGCGACGGGGCCGCTGGTGGCGGCGACGGGGCCGCAGGTGGCGGCGACGGGGCCGCAGGTGGCGGCGACGGGGCCGCAGGTGGTGGTGACGGGGCCGCAGGTGGCGACGACGGGGCCGTAGGTGGCGGTGACGGGGCCGTAAGGGGCCTAGACGAGGCCGCGGAGGGGCCATAAGGGGCCGTAGAGGGGTCGCAAGGGGCCTAGACGGGGCCAAACAGGGGCCCGCAAGAGGCCTAAATGGGGCGGCGACGGGGCCGTAAGGGGCCGGAAAGGGCGTCGCGTGGGGCCGAAAGGGGCCGCGCGAGGGCCGTAAGGGCGACGCGAGGGGCCGTAAGGGGCCGTAAGGGGCCGTAAGGGTGGCGCGAGGGGCCGTAGAGGGCGGCGCAAAGGGCCGTAACGGCGGCGCAAGGGGCCGTAAGGGCGGCCAAAGGGGACGTGAGAGGGGCCACTAAGGGCGGCTCGAAGGTAGGGAGGGCACACAGAGCGCGACTCGGGCAGGAGTGAAGCGCGCTCCGGGTAGGAAAAAAAAGATATCGTGGTGGGCCCCAGGTAGCGTTCCCACTAGGGAACCTGCTCGATACCATGATAAGAAACGAGAATGAATGCATTGAGCAGAATGGGGAGTACAAGTAGTAAACCCTAAACTGTTGTACCCCATATGAACTGCCCCACTACAGCCTACACAGACTATAGCATATATGCATGACCCATCCGAGGGAAACTTCTAAGAAACTTCCTCTCGATAAGTCAGGGTCCACAGAGTCGATACTCTGTTAAGTCAGGGTCCACTAACAGCCTAGTCTGTTACAATGTACTCAAAATCAGGGATAGCTAAACTATTACTCTGATAGGATCAAGGCTGAAAATTCGATAACTCTGAAATTTCAGTCTCCACAAAGTCGAAAGCTTGGAATCATCCTCAAATCAGGGTAATTACCTTGATAAAATCAGCCCTGGGTGGTTGGGTTCAGATTGGACACTGAACGAAAACAATGTATGCAGTTGGCGAACCTCGCTGGACTTCGTGGATTCGATTTGTTTCGTTAAATTTATGGTTACATTACACTGCCCTCGTCACTCTGCAAAACCGCATGGAATCTCTCTCAAACGTTCGCCACCGTCTGACCCGAAAAAGCTGACGGAAAAGCAACTCGTGTACCGAATGTTGCGATTTTTGTGCGTTGATTTTTGGAAACTTCGCGCAACTTGTACGCCAGGTTTCCGCAGAAAAAACTTCGGAGGCCAATTTTCGCAGCTTTCCTTTTTCGCGATGGAGGATGTGAAGCGTGGGTGACAGAGGGTGTCTGCCAAAGGAGATAACGATGACATTTGATGGGTGATTCGAGGACGCGGTGGTTGGGAAAGAAGGCGATAGTCTTCGTCGTACGGAATGCGTGCCGGCGCGGAAAATCCTCCATAGATTGCGCGTTTTCTTTACATTGGTGAAGAGACACATGGGGAATAATGGGGGAGCATGGGAAGAAACTTGAGTGTGATTTGGAAACCCGTCTTACAAGCACAGGCAGTGCTTCTCTTGGCGTGTCTGCTCATATTTTCTGAGTAATTTGCTTCAAGACTTGTCGAAACTCGCACGAGACGAAATGTGGTAACCAGTTTGCTTCGGGCTTCTGATATGAGCAGCCCGACATGCTGATGTCAGCGGGCTCAACTACTGAGGCACAAATTGGGGCCACACAAGCCTCTCTTCGGATTACACGTGGAAAGTGATGTATGCGAGAGCTAGCCATTCACCGTAGGCAATGACAATGACAATGCCGCCATGGCCATGGCGGAGAGCTTTAACTCAGGCAATGTCAATTAATTTCTTGACTGATACGGACTCTGTTACGCTCATTCGATGCACGGCTTTGAGCTCTACCTATTGGTGCATTTTTAGTGTTCATTACGTGAACCTAAACACCATTTCTACGAGTTCCAGGCTAACATCAGAGATTAACTTTCCGATAAGTCAAGTAACTACACAGGACTCTCATCTGAGATTATCGCTACTCCATAGGTTTGCTCGCGGCACTCAGAAGTCATTCTCAAGGTCTCGCGTCAACATTGATGTCTGCTGCAGCGGGAGTTTCCATGGCTCCGTCTCCTGCAACTCCCAAGGCCAGACACCCCCCTCGGAGAAAGCCTTGGACCTGTTTGGCCTTGACCTGCAATGCTTTGCTTTCAAACACATAAGCTATAAAACACCACCTGACCCGTGGAATGTGCTCAGATCTGCTTGCTTCTGAGCCACTCACGGGCTGTCAAGCCTTTCGCATCATCGCACCATGGGGAAGGGATGCAATAACAAGGTTGGCAAGAAGACTGCTGATGACGATCGTGAAAAGGAGGAGACTGCAGTACCTGAATTACCTGTGAAGACTGCTGCTGACAAGAGTCGTACGCTTTCGTCTTCATCGCCAGTTGACGTGATTGGTCCGTTCCAGGATCTCCTTGATCTGCACAACAATGCGGATCAGGAAAGCGGTCCTGCTGAAGACGACGCGGATGACAACGGGGAACATGCGGATCGGGAGAATAAAGAGGCGGTTGACAAACCTGCTGTGGATGCTACGGACTAAGGAGACGATGATGCAGAATCGGTTGAGGCACCTGGCGAGGATGACGACGGCTACCTGGGCGATGATTCGGATGAGCATCTAGAACCTGATTCGCTCAGTAGCGTCTTTGCCTTGAAGCGTTTTTCACTAACCTTGTTGGTGCCGATCTCCAGGAAAGCTGAAGTCAAGCGTGTTGCTCTAACGGTTGCAGCGCTGCTGGATGATGAGAAGGATCAGATATCTCCGGACGCTTTACAGACGACGACGTATTAGAAGCTTACAGCGACATACTTTTCAGGCACGCGTTATGGCCGCCTGCAAGTCACTTTTAACCGTGTCAGGGACGCGAACTACATCTGGAACCAGATCATCAAACATGAATGTATGAATGGCGACATCATTGATCTCACCTGGCAGCACCCGGAGGATGCGCGTTTCCTTCGTGAACGCGTCCTGAACCCGTCGGCAAAGGAGGTGGTGGTTAAGGGAGTGCCTGCCGACATCACTGCTGAGCTGATCCGCCATCTGTTGGTGGTGTCCAAGCTGGTCAAACGCGGCAGGAGCGCTTTCGCTAGCGGCTTTGGTTTTCACCGTACTGTGGACCCGGTCACCGGGCTGGATACTGACCGCATCTGCGGTTTGATTATCCCCCACGCTGCTGATCAATACCGCTGGAGGTATTTTGTTGAGGACCCGTCGACTGGCAGACGCTACCTTCTGCACTTTCCGTCGCTGTCCAGCGAACTTTGCAACGGCCATCACATGTCACGCTACCATGACCACTACATCACCCCCAGGCAGGAGAATTTCACCAGCTGGAACCTGACAGTCAAAAAGGTTCATGAGATGAACGGTACAAGCAAGATGGTTTCTGGCCCATCTCCTCTATCATTCTTACCGCCTGCTTCTCCTTTCTTATCTTTTACTGACGACTGTTCTCCCACTCCTCCCCGCAGCTGCTTCCTTGAAAGCCTCAGCCCTCATGAAACGCATCCTGAAAGACCCCGCGATAGTACTCACCTCCACAGGTGGGGTACGGGAGGAGTGGATATGTGTGCAAACGGTGTGCGAGAAGGCGCAAGGGAACCATTTCGAACAAGCAGCGGCTCATGTCGCATCTGCCAGGCACAAAGGGGGTTTGAAGGCAGACGGCACTGCAACGCGTGCCAGCAAGCACTCCCAGAAGATGGCCTTTTTCAAGAAGGAGTTCATTGTCAAAGTGGTAGCAAAGTGATCAGCGGCTTAGTCACAAGTACCTGGACCAGACTGGATGACGCAGCAGGATGGATTGTTGGTACAAGTTGTATAGTGGGTGCCCTGTTTTCTTTCGCTGTAGCAGGATGTATCGTTGCAATAAAGCTTAACCGCCCGTGGATGCTGTCGGGCTCAACGAAGTGGATTAATGGATAAGACAAACCAGCTCACCTTTCTCGAGCTCAATATCAACGGGCTCGGCGGCAGCGGAAAACAAGAGAGATGTGTCAGGTGGTTAAGGAAGGCAGCGAACATGGTGGTCCTTACAGACACCACGATCACGGCAGACCATAATTTATGGACGCAAGTTAGATCAGAAGCTCAAGCAGTGGTGGCGCCGTCGCAGAGGGCTGGAGGATTAGCTGTCTTGGGCTTCCTGCAAGGGATGAGGTTCACAGAGGTAGTTCGCCATGTGTCAGGCAGGCTTATGAGTCTCATGGTGAAGTGGCGCGACCTAAGCTGCAGAATAGTAGCGGTGTACTTACCGGCACAAGCTTCTGCAAGGGGGGTGTTTTTCCACGATGTACTGGCCCCTTTCGTACAGAGCCTTGGCACATCGCCTCATACGATCCTTCTTGGGGACCTCAACATCGTGGCTGATCCGGAGTTGGATAAATCGTCGAAGCTTGGCACTCCGGCGGAAAACCAGCGATTCCTGCAGATCTGCTCGAGATGGGACTTGCAAGATGCTTTCCGCTGCCTGCACCCAAGCCGCAAAGAGTACACTTTCTTTTCCAGATCTGCAAGGACGAGTACACGGATTGACAGGGTCTTAGTTTCTCACTCGCTACTCAGCTACGTAACAGAGGCGAAACACAAGATGGTGCCTTATGGTCTCACCGACCACTGGTTTGCGGTGTCAGTCACACTTAAGTCGGCGTCGGCAGAGGATCATGGGCCTGGTCTCTGGAGGCTTCAGGCGTCGCAGGCGGGCGGAGAAGGAACTCATAATATCATAGCAACGGTGCTGGAAGCGCAGGCAGACCAGCCGACTCAGAGCTTGGAGAGACTTATGTTGCATCTGCGGGCAAGCATGAGAGCACACGTAGCGGAGGAAAGGAAACGGGTGAAAGCGACCATGCTACATCTGGAACAGAAAGTGGAATCCCTACGGTGGAGGGTGATGTCAGATCCATCGACACAAGACGCGTACGAAGAGCTGGTAAAGAGTGAAGCGGCCCTAAAACTTTACCATGATGTTAACAAGGAGCGGCTCCAAGTCATGGCAGGGATGCTGGCGGAGCTGGCGGGGGAGACACCATCGGCATTCCTTTCGGGCCTGGTCAAATCAAGAAAAGCGAAGACAGAG